GAGATGAGAGAAACGTAAAGTGATGCATATCAGAGAAGGTAACCACCTATTTTTATGGAAAAATTGGATTTTTGATGATTTATACTGTGCTGAGCTAAAGAAATCAGGAAATACCTGGAAGGGATTATATTGCCTTGTATTCAGGAGCTTGTAGTCCTTAAAAACAAGCAAGCTAATATGACCTATCTCAGAAAAACATTCTCCAATTCTATCTGTATTACAAACAGCTACATCTTTTACAAGGGGTATGGACTATCTTCTCACAGTATAGAGAACATTTTAACAGAGATGAGTTGCTCTATGAAGCAGTTCTGAAGGTGTTTCATGTACTCTGAGATTAGAGGAACAACAGTCTGCATCTGCAGGTTACAGCTCAGACTAACAAAATGCCAGCTTTGCATTAATCCTGCAGACTGGTGAAATGTAATGGTGCAGTGCTTGAACATTAAGTGCAATTCCTAACACAACAACAAGCCACATTAATGAACATCAAGTTAAGGAACATAGGAGGCTTCTCTTCCTTCAGCTGTTCTGCACATGCCAGGATCCAATTTCAAACTGAAAGGAAGATGATGAACTAGGACTAAGATGTACTTTTATTTCAACTCTTACTTGGTGGTATAAAAACACTTCCCAAACATCAGTGAATTGAGGCTTACAGTATCATATTCAACAGGGGAAAACTCACGAAGAGAGTTACCAGTTAATCTGCTGATATACAAGAAAACCAAAGAATGCAAATCTTCAGCTAACAGGTTGCATATGATAACTCATATTTCTAACCAGCAGGGTATTGGTAGCAGAGGGTGACTGGAATGACCTGTGCTGTGGGAAGCAACACAAGTCACAGCCCCTTGCAAGTTATAGCTGCTTTCAAAGGCACACCTCCAAAGGTGCTGTGGGCAAACTGTGCTGGAGTAGAGACAACCTGAGCGACTGTGTCCTTTGCTTAACACATGCTGGTGTAGTGGAAAACAAGCAGCAACCAGCAGAAATAAAGCATCACAACCCTAGCTTCCTGCATAAACCCTGGCCTTGCCAAAGGGACTGGCCATAGTTGAACATAACATGTAGCACAAGCATGGTAAGCTGAACCTCTGAAAAGAGGATGAAAAGTTTTTTACTCAATTTGAAAGCGTTTCTCTCTTGTTTTTTTATTATTATTATTTTGTCCTTTTACTTCTCATTATCTCATTAATAAGCAAAAGTTTCTGTTCATTGCTAATACATGAAGCATAATTTCCCAAATCAAGATTATTTTGCTCAAGACATGCTTATTACTTACAAACATGAGCAAAAAAACCAAGAATGCTATTTGACATGGTTGAACTGCCATTTGAACAGCAAGCTGCTATGCTGCATTAAAAGCCTCACTAAAAAGCAAGTTTAGATTGTTTTAAGTATCCTCTAACAGCAGTAATCTACACAGGTTGAAGATGGAATGCAAGTAGTAGTAATAATAATAATAATAATAATAATCAATGATATCGATGTAGGAATTGAATGCACCCTCAGCAAGTTCGCTGATGACACCAAGCTGAGCGGTGCGGTCAACACGGCTGAAGGAAGGGATGCCATGCAGAGGGACCTCGAGAGGCTGGAAAGATGGGCCCAGGTGAACCTGATGAGGTTCAACTCAGCAAAGTGCAAAGTTTTGCACTGGGCCATAGGAATCCCAGGCATCCATACAGACTGGAAGAAGTCCTTGAAAACAGCCCTGTGGAAAAGGACCTGGGGGTCCTGATAGATGAAAAGCTTAACATGAGCCAGCAGTGTGCTCTTGCAGCTCGGAAAGCAAATGGTATCCTGGGCTCCATCAGAAGAGGGGTGGCCAGCAGGGACAGGGAGGTGATTGTGCCCCTCTACTCTGCTCTTGGGAGGCCCCATCTGGAGTACTGCATGCAAGCGTGGAGCCCCCAGTACAAGAAAGACAGGGAGCTGTTGGAGAGAATCCAGAGGAGGGCCACTAGGATGATCAGGGGACTGGAGCACCTCCCCTATGAGGACAGGCTGAGGGAACTGGGCTTGTTCAGCCTGGACAAAAGAAGGCTGCAGGGTTGTTGCAGCCTTTCAATACCGAAAGGGAGCCTACACAGGGGAGGGGAATCAACTCTTTGAAAGGGTTGATATGTGTAGGACGAGGGGAAATGGTTTTAAGTTGAGGCAGAGGAGATTTAGGTCGGACATGGAGGAAATTCTGTACCATGAGAGTGGTGAGGTACTGGAACAGGCTGTTCAGAGGGGTTGTGGATGGCCCGTCCTTGGAGGTGTTCAAGGCCAGATGGGATGGGGCCCTGGGCAGCCTGCTTTAGCATTAAACGTGGAGGTTGGTGGCCCTGCATGTGGCAGTGGGGTTGAAGATTCATGATCCTTGAGGTCCCTACCAACCCTGGCCATTCTGTGATTTTGTGATTCTGTGATTCTGTAATAGACATCACACAACTAGACCGCTTGAAAAAGGCTCAGAAGTAAAATAAGGTGAACTGTGCCACTGGAGAATAAAATCAGTCACTCAGGAAGCGAGTACAAAACAGATGCTACATATTAAACTCAAACCTTAATTTAGTTTCTGATAAAACTCCCCTGGAGACATGCCACTAGGGTCTTATGATGCACACTGCCTCTTTTGCCTGTGAACTGTGGGAAAGGGCCGGTGCGTTCTCAGACTTGCTGTTTTCTCACAAATTAGCCAATTGGCCATGCCTTGTTTCCTTCAGGACCACCTGCAGGATCAGTAAGTGTGCCAGCTTCCTTTTTTTTTTTTTCATACAAAAAGACTCTTTCCATGAGAGACTCAGGAGTCTGTCAAATTAACACAGCCTTGAAGATGGGAAGAAGATAAGCAGCACTTTTATCTATAGACTCTGTATTAACAAAAGTTATGAATGGGAGGGAGGAACCCTATTTGACTCATTTGCCTCATTTGATTCATAACTGTTACATCAGCTTACAAATGCTGATAAAATCTATTTTAAACTAAGGGTGAAAGTCCTGCCAGCAGGCTAATATTACTATTTATCTACTGCCTACTTCCTAGTTATTCCCCCTTTTTGAAGATGTGGTGATAAATCAGTTGCCTTCCTGTTTAGTAAAGCATGTGGCAGTCTGTTTATTTAATCAGCTTCTGGCCCATTTTCTAATTAAGGGAGATAATGTGGGCTCATTTCCTGCCATGGCGAACCTGGCACGGCACAGGTTGTCCTCAGCTATTGCAATAAAATAGAAGATTATTTGTAATATCTGCTTTTGTTTGGCAGCTCCTCCCCTTCTCTCTGCCCAGCTGAAGACAAAAATGCAGATAATTTTTTTTCTTCATTTCTAGTTCCTCCAGAGTTGAGGACAGGGAAACGTAAGAAACAGGTGGGGTTTTGTCATCTTGCTGATACTGTGCCTTTCATGCATGTGGAACAGTTTTCTGGAAGCTCCTGCAGCTCAACAAAGTTCAAAGCACCCTGTGCTGAAACTAAGAGTAATTTTGTGAGGGCAGCAAATGCTGGAATGCAAGGGGAAAGCATATACCAATGCAGCACATTCTTAGCCTGCTCTCCTGCTAAACTTGGGCCACCTCCTGCACCACTCTGGCCTCAGACCTTCATCTGTCTGCTCAGCACAGGAATTTTGCTAATGTCTTCTTGTGGCATCAAATTAATTTTTGGGCTCTTTGTATGTCAAAGCAGGCAAGGATCTTGTAGCTGACTAGCTGTCTCCTCTTTTCCCACCCCACCTCATTTTATTTGTAACACAGCTACAGAGATCAACAGCTACAACAAACCCAGAATCCCTGGTCTGCCAAAGTTCTCTTTTACAGGGCACTTACTCACCCTTACCAGACATTTAGATGGTATTAAGTTCTCCACCCACAAAGGAATGACAGAAACATTACAGGTTACTTGTATGTGCCATATACAGCATCTTTCAGAGGGACTTGTGAAGTGCTGCAAACAAGACCGTTCTCTTTGTCTTTATTCACTGGCTCTGCTTCAGTTATCATAAGCACAAACATGTACCACTCTGCAATAGCTCCAGCTCCCAGAGAACCACCACTTCCAGAAATATTTAATAGCAGCTATGCTGTACATATCTGTGCATTCTGCCTTTGTGAGGAACAATTGAATGTCTGTGGATGTGTTCCACAGTGTTCCTAGGAAACACTGCTTTCAGTGGAGCACGTTGGACTGTGTTGCATCTGCAAGTGTTGGCCAATCTCTGCTGCTCTTGTGCCTCTGAGGAAAAAAATACTCCAGCCATTATGAATAAGCTGTACAACACAGTACTTTCAGAATTCTGGCCAACACAGAAATGTTGTCCCATACCCTTTAAAAGTTGGCGCACAGTGAGGAAACCTTTTGAATTGTCTTTCTTATCTGCCTACACTTCTATTTCACTTGCATTTGCAGACCACAGCAGAAGGGTTTCCATTTCTGAAGCCTTAGTTTTGAAAACAATAAGTTTCTTATGACCTACCTTCAGTCAAAAGGAAGTGTCTGGTTTTCTTACGCTGTTAATTGTCTGAGTCTCAGTCTCACCTCATTTGTCTCACTTAGATCCAGGCCTAGCACACTCAATATTTTCAAAAACACCTACTTAAAACATTTCTAAAAAATCCCATTTCACCTCTATTTACACCACTGTTCTCTTCATGTGCATGCAACTGGATGCTACAAGTACCACGCTGTGACCAACTAGTGAAAAAAAGACAGCACAAAATTATATACAAAATATATAATACAAGAAGAGGGAAAGAAAACTGAATTTCCACTTTAAAATGAAAGCATTTCCCAGCTTGTATTCTTCCATACAAAACACACTGTATTTTTATCCTTTGACTACTCTGCATCTCACAAATGCTGCAGTAGATGGTCTCTGGTCAGAAGTCAAGTTCTTTGCTTTAAATTGCCTTTGTTCAACCACTGAGAAAATCCACTGCAGTAAGTGTGGGAAAGGCTCAGTGAAGGGTGGCTGAATATTTCCTCGAGCTTTCTCCTAGACCTCACACTTACCAAAGGCTCTAGTTCTTTGCGGTCTATCAGGTTGAGCTCTGTCACAAAGTAATAAAAATGCTTGTAGCAGGTATTGACGTGGGCCTCGGCCCCAATGAGGATGATACGGTCAAAATGATGAATGTAGACGTGAACAAACACCCGAAAAAGCCGGCAAAGTATCTTCTTGCAGATCTGAAGGAAGTTCTTTGGAAAGGGAACACCTGTGAATAGAGAAGGTAGAGAGTTGTCACAACAGCTTGTCATCCTACCAAAACAGTGACTTTGGAGTAAAGAAAAAATCTGTTACTGTAAAGAAGGTTATGACATGACTCCTTTCCACTCCAAAAGTCTATGCAACATACAGGTGTCCAAACTTTTGGCTTGCTTGGGCTGCAGTGAGTGAAGAGGAATTGTCTAGGGTCTTATCTATGAAGCTTGCTCTGAAGGTAATGCCTCCTATTTATTCTGATGGAAACTACAACAGCTACAAAGAGTACAGAGACACTATTTAATAGAGCAAGTTCTCAGCTACAACATACTCTTTTCCAGCACAATCACCATCCTTTGCTCTGCGCTTTCACCCATAATGAACAAGAGCCTGCATGCTCCACTCAGAAAAATCTTCACCAGCAGAGGTGAACTCTACCACTGTTGCCACTGCTGAAACATACCAACCCACCCCTCACTGTGTGCACATTTCTGTTTGGTGTCCATAAATGTTGATAAGTATCAGTGAATGTCAGTGGGTGCCATTTTTTCTGCACAGAAGTATTCAGTTCTGTACCTTTGTTCCATATGCAATTCATGCCAGAGTTGCCAGAGTGCCTCCCTGCTACCATCTGTTGCACAGCAATAAAATCAAAAGAATACCCCTGGGGTAGCTCTACCACTACTGCCGAACCACCAACATCCTCCTCTGACAACATGGGACAACATTATAAAATAGGAGGCAATACTTTCATAGTAGCCCTAATAAAATATATGATACAGCTAATGTATATAAGTGACAAAACATTTTAATTTTCAATGTTTTTTATTAAAATACAAAAAAGGAGAGCAACAAAACCATAAAAGTAGTGGGATATTGAGCATGTTTTTGTGAATGTAATGCATCAAGCTGGTTTGACAGAAGCAGCTGCAATTCTTAGTAAGGTCAGATTTAGCTTACTGTAGCAGCATAGGTAGCCAAACACTTAATCACTGTAATGGATCAAGACTAATTGGTACTGGTCTTTGTTCCCTTACTAGTTTAACAGAGAAACAGTTGGTGGCGGAATATTCAGAAATGTGATTTTCACTGCACTGCATACAAGCTCGGTAACATCAATGGCTTTGCATGCGGAGGTAGCTGTTTCACTTGCTGTTACAGGCAGAGTTTGTCCTAGATGCAATGGACTGTCTTCTGCCCATCTTATTCAACAGTTTAACATTTTCACAAAGTTAAATTTAATAATGAAGAGAAACTGAAGGATACATCCCTTTGTTCTCAGCTTCATCGGCCACATACACCACTCTGTCTGCTCTTTAATAGAAAAGCTCATGAAGACAACAAGAACAACCTTTCTAAAATATCCTGGAAGTTAGACTACTATGTAGTTGAAGACTTGAAAGCAGCAGTATGAGGAATATTTGCAAGTAGACCACCAGGCAACCACAGTGTAGCATCAATAATGACTTCAAAAAACCCTGTCATTAAAAGTTCACCTTGCATAGCACTATCTATCACAGAGCTGTCACAAACACCTAAAGGATTCACCTACTTCTATGACTGCACTCTAGCACAATGACTTCAGTGCCATCCTCGTAACTCTGCTTGCTATTTGCTTTGTTGCATTGTCCTGATGTTTCATTTATCCTTCATATTTTTTTTCTAGATTTGAACTACATAACTGTAGTTACTGCTTCTTTAAAAAACAAAACAAAACAAAAACCTCACCACTAACCAGTCCCACAGCCCTTGGAACCTGGCTCATGGTTTCAACAAGAAAAAACGTTCATTATTTGTAGAAAGGAGATGGAGAAATTAAATTAACATTCTCAAAAGCTTGAGGGCACTGTACTTTCTGGTCCTGAACAGACATGCCCCAAAATAGAGAATAATTATTTTCATCTTCCATGGGCTGAAAAACAATTGTTAATGAAGAACATTACTGTAATGAAGAAATATTTTTATATTAACTAAAACAATCCTAATACATCTAGCTGGCAAAGGTGAACAAATCCTTTACTTCTTTGCAGCCCATTTTCCCACTGAACAGTCACAAGCAGCAGGAGCAAAGGGGGTAGCACAGTTTCTGTTGCAGATGAGAGCTTCCACCTGATGGCCTTATAGGTGTGTAGGCACTGAATGTGAGAACATGCAAACAAGACACAGAAATAACCAAAGCAGAACAGCCTGGGGCATATAAACTCGCCACCTACCATTTGTCACTGCAGCACTTCCCCAGCTTTGCAAACCTCTCCCTGTCTCACTTACTTGGGCTATGAAATGAACAGTGAGACATAGCTGCTATCATAGATCTGCTGCTCTTCGTATTCAGAAATGGACAAGGATGGCAGAAATGCAGTCTCAAAGAAAAAAAAATCTAATGCAACAGAAGAGATTCCAAACACAGTAACAGAATAAATTTAAAGTAATGTCATCAAAATTTGAAAAATCAGAGTGAACTGGTTCCAGATTTATACTCTGAGGTCAGAATTTGGCCTAATGTCTTCTTCCCACTGCAACTGTTACCGTTACAAATAAATCAAGCACAGAATGCAGTCGTTAACAGTGACCCATGGGAAATGACTAGCTTAGATTTAGATGCTTAACTTGCTGAAGAGTCAACAGTGCTTTAGTCTAGCCTTCCCCCTTCAAGCTCTTTTTAACATGCAGTCCAAGTTTAATAATTCCTTTCCTGGAAATCTGAATAAGGGAAAAAATGCCTGAGTATTTATTTAAACTTTGGATTCCTTCTGCAACAAAAAATATTTTCAATAAAGTTGACTGTCTCACTATCTGAGTACAGTAAGGTGATACTGTAAAGATAAAGAATGAAAAACCACCAAATTAGATTGATAACCTATATTAATAAAACACAAAGAAATACAAAGATGCCAATGGATTTTTTGAGCTAGCTGCTACTTGCTGAAAAAAAGTACTTCTTGGAGCACAACCTGCTTGCAGGTTGGGACTCAGTGCTGCTGTATGAGAAGAATGTATTGGAAGGATTCCCTTGGTTCCAAACCCCAGGGGTCCTGATTATGTCCTAGTTAAGTGCCACGTTACACAAACGCTCTCAGACATCCCAGTCATACCATGCAAGCTCTTTTACTTCAGGGCTGTACATGCAACTGAGAAACAATGCAACTGAGTAAGAGAATGATGTGTATAGCATAGACGGCAGCAAATACTGCTAATGATAGCTTCCTCCTGCAGCACAGCAGCACTGGCACGCACCAGAACAGCAGTGGCCAGCCACCACCTCCTCCTTGCTCATACCTGCCTACCTGTCCTATACTTTTCTGCTTCATCCAACAGTGCTACCTGCCAGCTTCTACATCTGGGTCAAAACAACCCCATGCAGCAGCATAGGTCTGTGAAAGAGCAATTGGAAAGCTGCATGGCAGAAAAGGATCTGAGGGTGTTAGTCAACAGCTGGAGTGACTTGAGCCAGCAGTATGCCCAGGAAGCCAAGATGGTCTATTGCATCCTGGCCTGCAACAGATGTAATGTGTCCAGCAGGACTAGGGAGGTGATGATCACTCTGTTCTCAGACCTGCTGAGACCACAACTCTAATACCGTGCTCAGTTCTGGGCCCCTCACTACAAGAAGGATTTGAGTTGGTGGAACACATTCAGTGACAAGCAATGAAGCTGATGAAAGGACTAGAAAACAAGAATTATGAGGGGTGACTGAGGGAACTGGGGTTGGTCAGTTTGGAGAAAAAGAGGCTAAGGGAAACCTCTTCATCTTCTACAACCACCTGAAAGGAGGTTGCAGTGAGGATGAGTCAGTCTCTTTTCTCAAGTGACAAGTGGTAGGACACAAACAAATGGCCTCAGGTTGCACTAGGGCTGGTTTAGGTTGGATATCAGTGATTATTTCTTCACAGAGAGGCTGGTCAGGCCTAAGGAAGTGGTGGAGTCCCCATCCCTGCAGGCACTCAACAGACAAACAGATCTGGCTTTTAAGGACAAGGTTTAGCAGTGACCCTGTAGTGTTAGATGGATGGTTGGGCTTGATGATCTGACAGGTCCTTCTAACCTAAATCCTTCAGTGATTCTATGACTCTTTTTACTTGCTAGAAAAGGCTACAACAAAGACTCTGTAAAACATCCAAAACTCAATTCACTCAACGTGTTTAAAAGTTTTAACACTTTATTTTCCACTGGAAATCAGTGAGACTTTCCCTTTCTTTTACAATCAATCTTACTTTCACAGCTCTCAAGTGACTTTATTTCATAAGCTATCTTTCTTAATTTGCTACCAGCTGATTTGCTCCTGTACCCGACTGCAGTTCTAGATCTAATTCCTTACCACAACTGACACTGATGCTGCTGACCTATGATCTTATTCCTTTGAGTATTTCACAAAGACGGTAACAGCAGGCAATGTCGAGGCCCACCTCCCATGAAACTCACTCTACAAAAGCAGTATTCTTACTGCTATCCGCTAAAAACACTTGTGCAGTGATCACCAGCAAGTCAATGGTCTGCTGGTTTAAAACCCAGCTACATGTTCTATGATGTCAGACTCAGGTGACTTTAGACCTTCTGTATTTGTGTGGTTTGAAGACTTACTTCACTTAAGGAAATCCCTCTGGCAATTGTGCACAGACATAGCACTGCACATTTCAACATCTTTTAACAGGCCACAGTCACGTCATTCTTTTTTAACAGTATACATATGGGGAAAGAAGACTCTTCTCCACTAGCAAAAAGATTGATAATACACTACTGCAAACGCTGTTTAAAAATATTCCAACCTGGAAAAGTAAGATTATTTTTAGTTTTATGAATGAGAAAGCAGTATTTTTAAAAACCAATGACCTGGAGAAGGCATCTGATCCAAATTCCTCTCTTCTTGCTCCCTAAGCGTTCTCCTCCTCCTACTGTCCCCAGTACTAAAATTTGTGAAAGATACCCTCAGCAATTGCTGGAAACCTCACTGCAAAACACCTATCCCGATCCAAGCAGATGTTTAACTCAGCATGTTACTCAGGGAAGCATCTGCCT